CTTCCCAGTGCTTTCCAGTGCTATGACCTGTTTTTGTCTGACACGTTTCTCATTAACTCTTTGTCAAATCACCAGGAAGCCTGCTTAATTGCAGGCAGAGTGCTGAATTTATGAGTTCATCTAGGCTTCGTGTCTACACATTGACAGAGGTGTTTCTCTGGATGAAGTCTTTTTCTCTTCATTTCGTGGCAAGAATGGACTTTCTGTTTCAGTTACTTCTGAAAGTCATAAATTGCAGCAGTCCCTCCCTTCCCTTTATTTAAAAGAAACACAACAAAACTTCATGGCAACAGTTTATTGCTCTAAATCAGCTCGTGGGTCATTAAAGCAAAAAAAGGGGGGAAAAAAAGGGAAAAATCTCCAACCTCTGCCAAATAAAATGTGCACATCAGCCAAGCTGTCAGAGGCAGATTCTGCGACCATGGGATGAGAAGGTTTATTACACTCTGGGCTTCTGGGGAGGGATGTTATAGCAACAGGACGCTGGGTCAGTGATGGCAAACTCCTGGTTGCTCCGTTTCTCCATGCACACTAGGAATCCATTAAGCCAACTGACGACAGATCCGCAGGCATTCCAGCCCCCCGGCACACCTCTGCCGGGGCCAAACCTTGGACGCTGCCCATTAAAATGTGAAAGAAACAACCCAACAGAGAGCCCACAAATTAGAGGGGCAGGAAACCTCAAATGATGTGCAAAAAAAATTGTAAACGTTCGAGAGGATTTTTCCATAACTTCTGCCCCATAACTCAGCATTTCTGATGTTAATAAATTACGGAGCAGAGCCTCTGCGAGATCAAGGAGCCTTTTGGATCCAAACCCCAAGCGCTGCTCGGCAGACGGCAGATGAAGCTGCAAAGTGAGCCCTGGAACATGACAACAATTTCCTTTTGGCTGCCTGGGGATGGGTCTGAAGCACAGCCACAGCCAGAGCTCTGGCTCTGCATCCCAAATCCGTGTCTTTGCAGAGGGCCAGTCAAAGCCCTGTAATCCCAGGGAACTTGAAGGTGCATTTGTTTGGAGGGGATAGACTGGAGAGAAGAAGGTTGGGGGACTTCAGAGCAAGGAGAGTTCTGTGAGACCCAGAGAACACCACAAGACAAAATCATGGCACTGTTACTGGCAGAGAAGGGAAGGGGAATTGGGAGTTCTTAGACGAGCTGTTGGATTTGAGGACAAAAATGCTAGGAGGTGCTGTGGGTTAATAAACAAAGACTGAACTCACCATCTGCAGCAGAAGGAGAAAAGATGAACTGAAGTTTTGGTGTGTTAAGTGATGAAAAAAGAAGCGGGGAGAAATCCATGATGGGGCGGGAGGAATAAAAGGAAACAGTGGCCAGAGGAAGTGCTCCCTTAATAATTAACTTTCTGAGCATGACCACAGGCTGCAGGCCAGATGAAAGTCTGCTTTTCCAGCACATCTCCACAGAAGGGTCTGTCCCAGACTGCTGGGATTTAACATGGGGACAAAGAAAAAGGGACAAATCTTGTTCCTGCAGGGAGCCCAGCTCTGTGGGACAAGGATGCTGGGCCTCAGAGCCAAAGGGATCAAGGAGGTGAAATACATTCCCCAAAACTGACTGGAATAACAGCACGTGATGGTTATAGACTTGCAAAATCAGCACCACTTACTAATTGTAAACTGATTTTATTTTGTTTTCTCCTCTCCAGTGTCTTCCCACCTTTTTTTCACCTCTCCGTCTAAGCCAAATTACTCTCAGGAGAGACATCTCCACTGATACAGAGCCAGCCTTAGCAGAGAGCACAGGCAGAAATTCCATGTCAGTTCCACCAAGTCAGAATCCTGCTAATAATTACACTGGATTTTCTGATGGTTTTTTTCTTCCTGTGGCATCTCTGGGGTTTTTTGCTGTTGGTGCTAAATATCTGATGTCAGCCTTTACCTGCCCAGGGAAACAGGAGTGGATGGTTTTGGATTAAAGCTGCTGCTGGGTTCTGGATAGGGAGGGACGTAGTTCTGGTTTTAACTGTGAATAAACAGATTTAATAGAGCTGAAGATGCCTGTTGTGGTGAGAGCATCCCCAGGTGGGTGGCTGTGGGGAGCTGAGCCTTACAGGAGTGGGGTGGAAGCTGTGCTTCTGTCTGGGATCTTTAATTTGCCCATTCCCAAAACTTTTTGCCTCCATTTCCTTTCTCCACCCCTAGAGCACAGGATGTCTCTTGGTTCTTCAAAAGAACCCAGAAAAACCAATTCTTCATGAGCATCCCAGGAGCATTTTCAAACTGGAAATTTTTTTACTTACTGACAGAGACTTTAAACAGTTGGTTTGCAGAATTTCACCAGAGGAAACTTCTGATTTCCTTCTGGTCTGAACTGGAAGAAGATGTGGTAAAAGGTTTCACTTTGTTTTTCCGGAGTTTTCTCAGGTGGGGGAGTGGGAAGAGAGACTTAAAATATTATTCTGTGTGAACATTTGACAGAAGAAAGAAAAGATACTGCAGATAGTGCTGGGTGACTGCTGCTGTGTTCTTCGGTGCTTTTAAGCTGTGAAATAACTTTGATAGAGACCATCGGTGACGAGTGGGAGCGTGTGAATGTGATCTTTAATTAGAGCTGTTGGCCACGGTGGGCTGAGCTGGCCCAGGAGCTGAGCTGGCCCAGGAGCTGCCCTGGCTCTGGAGCTGGTCCTGCAGCACTCTGAGACCAGCTGATCACCCCATTTGTTCCATTTTCAGAGGGTCCTGGTCGGTGCCAGCAGAGGGGTGAGGGCTGGCTGGGTGCAGTCCCCGCTTCTGGGCTTTGGGCCGTGGTGCCAGGTTCTATTTACGGAGGGCAGTGAGTGTGTGTGAGAACAGCAGCTCAGGTTCTCAGGCTCTCACAGCACCTCTTTTTCTCTCGTTTTGATCTGTCAGATTTCACAGCCCCAGCTTGGGTTTTAATGCACCACACAGATAAAACCACAGAGTTTCAGGTGATTTCGAGCTACGGCAGAACCTCCTCCTGAGGCACAACTGGTGAACACGACCCAGCAAAATGAACTTGAGCTGAATTCTGGGCTTTCCCCGAACTCTCTGCCCAGGGCAGGCGGTTGGAACTAAATGATCCTTAAGGTCCCTTCCATTCAATGGTCCTAAGTGTCCTCTCAAATGGCCTCAGAAAATGTAAGAGACCATCTGTAAGATAGAGCTGTGAAGTTAAAAATATTATTTGTGTGTCCTGTATTTGCCATCCTGTGTTCCCAGGGTCACTGAATGTCACCAATTACTGGCACTGGGAGATTTGTGGGCTGCTGGTTCCTCAAACCACTACAAACTCTGCCCAAACTCTTCAGTGGCTTCAGACCAGCTGAGCACAGATGATTCATCTCATTTGGTTTTCCAGTTTCCCTGGAAGCTGCTGTCACTTGGTGTCTGGGTGTGTCCCCACTCAAGGGTCTGTCTTGGCTGGGACACTCAATTTGGGATCAAAAAAGCCAAGAGAAGCTCTTTATCTCACCAGCTTTAGGCAGCCTCAGTGTCCTTGGAGCTCCCTGAGATAAAACAGAAGTTATTGATATTTCAGCTTGAGTAAATTCAGTAGTGTTGCAGCCACATTAAGAACAGGTTTTACTGTTTGGGTGGGGTTTTTTTTATTATTTTTATTAAAACTTCCAATCAACACAGAATTTGCTTCCTGTGCAATGCCTACCTCAGACCTTTAGTGCTGCCAGTGGGCGACCAAGAGTGTCTAGAAAGTTCCAGGGTCTAGTTAGGGGTGAGTGAATGACCCTGAGTGTTCCCAGGCACAGGATGAAGAAACTTAGCATGGACAGGTTTTTTCTCACACCAGTTCAGTCCCAAACATGTTCTGGGAGAAAATGCAGCATTCCAGTGACTCCCAGTGCCATGTTCTCACTAGGAAGGAAGAAGCTCAGTACTAATTGTGGGATTTTCCCCAATCCCTTTTCAGCCCGGGAGCTAGAAAAGAAAGGGTTGGTGGTGGGGATGAGACCAGGAAATGTCTGCTGGGACCAGCTCAGGGAGCTAGGAGCTGTCCTGGTGGTTCTGACAAGTCCTGGTCCTCCCAGGAGTTCAGAGCTGGAAGCCAGAGTCTGAACTGGACCTTCTCCCCTGAGGTCTCTCAGCCCAGCCTTAGGCTCAACTTGTTGCTGTCATCGCTGGGCTTTAATTTTTCTCTCCTTTGTTTTCCCACCTTTCTCTTTTTTTCTGTGTCTTGAAATAGATGGGAAAATATAATCGTATCCCATGAGATTCTGAGAGAATTAATTGCTAGTAAAAGCATGTTAAGAGCTTTTGATGACTGAAGTAATTTGCACTGACACAGGGGCTGGTCGGCATAGAGGGAAATCTGAATCTCAGGAAAAAAGGAGTTTCTGGAGCAGGGAGGCCCATTAGGAGCAGAGCAGAGCCTTGCTATGCTGGGACTCACAGGGCTTCTCCTTGTTTTCAGACTGTCCTGTGTCATTTTTAAAACGTGCTTTTTTGAGTGAATTACAAACTGGATCATCCCAAAGGTTGTTCTGGAATGCTGAGCATCTCCTCTGCTTCTGTCACCAAACTGCCTTAAGAGAGGAAAAGTCTCTTCCTGGCAAAGCAGCGACTTTCTTTGGACTGCAACTCCTTAATTAACTCTTTTTTTCCCCCCTCACACCTGGACTTTAAATATCTGAGGGGTTTTAGTTTGAAGGATTCCTCTTTTTCACAGCAGCCAAATTGTATCTCAGCTTCAGCCACATAGATGTGGTCGATGAATTTCTCAGGCTGTACTCAGATAAATGAAAGTAGTGCTTTGGGTAAAGCATTTTTTTAAAATAGAACCTCACAGCCCTGTGGAAAGAGACTTGATTTGAGAGTTTATTGAAAGGTTTGTAATTAAAAATTATCTTGCATGAAAGGATGAAACAGATGATGTGAAGATAGACCAGTTAAGGACCTTGTCATTAAAATCAGTGCTGTTTGGAGGAGTTTCCTGCTTTGATTACTTGAGCTGTGGTACCAGAGCTGTTTTCTAGAATATTTGTAGTCCTGAAACTTTTACTCATGGACCACTCTGAGGTGTGTCCTGGGAGGTTCTGCCAACCAGGACCTTCAGATAATGGCTGAGAGCTGCTTTTATTCTTGTCATAAGCTTCTTTATCAATTACATCTATCACCCACATTTCTCCTTTCTATTTCTTGCTTGGAGCTGTGCCCTGCAAACCCTTTTCCTCCCTCTCTCCCCTCTGTAGCTGCCATTTGGCCCCAGCTGACCCCTTTTCTGTCCCGTTCTCCTGCAGATTCCTGATGCCCTGGGCAGTGAGAAGTTCTGTGGTGATGCTGGCCAGGGAGGGGCTGGGAACTGGCTGAAGTACATCCGAGTGTCCTGCTCCTGCGACGAGCAGAACCTGGCTGTGTGCCACATCAACGAGCAGGTAACCTCCCTGCGGGGCTGCTGGGCTCCCCTCGCCCCCAGCACGGGCTGGGGGGCTTGCCAGGGGTGCTGGGCAGGGGCAGCATCTTGGGGAGGTGACCAAGGGGTGGATCAGCCCTGGGATAAGCTCAAACCTCCAGATTTATGGTCCTGTCCCTGGCTTGTGATCCTGTCCCTGACTCATGATCCTGCCCCTGATTCATGATCCAGTCCCTGATTCATGATCCAGTCCCTGACTGCTGGTGGTGGAGAAAATCCTGTGAAACCCAGGTTATGGCACCAAACTCCTCTGGGACAGCTGGAAACCAGCACTGGAAATGGGAACCATGGAAACTGTGGCCAGGGAGGGTTGGGAGGGTGATCCTGGGGTGGAAATTTAGTTGTCTGTTTTTAAGAGGAGAGTGAGAGTGGCAGACAGCTTGGAGTCTGCTGAGGAGGAAGTAGAAATCTCCTAGGCAGGTTATAGCAATGCTGGTGAAGGAATCCCTGGGTGGGGGTTTTATGGAATTAACAGGATTTTGATGGTGTTTGCAAAGTTCCTTGAGGCTTAGACCCAAAAATGGATTGAAGATGAGCAATTCACATTGTGAGCTTCACAAACCTGCAATTGAGTACAACTGAAATAGAAGTTACTGTTCAGACCTAACCTAAATGAGAAATACTGTTTGAGCAGGCAGGAGGCAGATTTGGGGCTGTGAGGAGCTTTTTGGGATGTTTCCAGCTGCCCTGGGCTTTCATCAACCCCAATGGGAATTCATAATTCCCAAGTGGCCAAGGTGCTTTTTGGATACAAACCTGCAACAGAAGAGTATTTGAACTCTTGGAGACTCAAAATTGAACTTCTAACCTGAAAAATTTAAGTTTTTCATCCTGGTCCTAGGAAAACTGTCCTTGGAAATGCTGGACTGCCAAATCCCACAGCAAGTGTGTCACACGGTGTCAAAGATACTGAAGTTAGAAGAGTTGGAGGGTACAAAATGCTTTCAGACTTTATTAGTTTTGATATAGCTGGTGTCACCAGGAGTTGTTTGCCAATAAAAGAGGGATGGTGCAGGTTCTTCCTAGCCTGAGCAGCTCAAGCTGAGCTGGGCTCCCACACCCAGGTGTGTTCCTGGATAGGACCATCCTGGGCTTTAAAAATCAATCCTCTCATTTTCCCACTGAGATAAATTTAGAAAATTTCTGTTGGCTTCCAACTTTATTTCCCATGCACCAAACCCCACAGGCTGCTTGTTTTAGGGGAAATTCTGCTGGGGGTTGGTGCTGGGGGAATCCTGCAGGTCAGAGGGGAAGAATCCAAGCAGGGAGAGCTCCAAAGGGAGAGATCCCCAAAGGGAGAGTTCTCAGGAGACACCCCAAACCCTTCCCAGAGTAAATCCCAAAGCCATTTTCAGGGTGACCAAGCTGTGCTGATTCCTACCTCATGCTGTCTCCTGGTGCTGCTGGCTTTAACTTCTTTTATTTCACCAGGGAACACATTTTTCCTGAACACAAAGCAGGACAAAAGTTTGATCTTTCCCCTTCAGGCAGCAGGAAAAGGTTTGGGGTTGCTTGTAAGCACACACAGAAAATGAAAACTTTTGCAATAAATGATTGTACTCTAAATAACCAAAGAGCACTGTGGTGATAAGTGCCAGGACAAGATTTTCATCAAAATAATTTTATTTTCAGGGGAAAAAAGCATTTTTACATGGGGAGATTAGAGTGTGTGTGTCTCCTGTTTTTCTTTAGTCCTGTAACCTGGGAACAGGACTAAACCCAGGAATGCACAGAGAATTTTCCTGGATTTTGGTGAGGAAACTGACAGCAAAATCTGGACCACTTAATTATTTCCCCCACACACCATTAACAGATTATAATATATACATAAAGTGTATTTATTTTTCTATTTTGGAAGAGATGTTTCATTCACCATTTTTCAATTACAAACCAAATTTTCACATGCAGGATAACATTTAGCTCCTTTTCTTTATATTTATTCATGCTGGAGAGGTATTTGAAAAGAAGATCCTTGATTGTTGGAGATAATTGTGATTCTGAAGGAGGACTGGAAAAATGGTAGATAAATTGTGTCATTTACTAAAAGGGAAATGGTTTATTTTTTCCTGTTGTTATTCCTGCCTCGAAAAAGAAAATACTTGAGCAGTTCAAGAGTCTGAAATACTAAACAAAATCTATGTAATAATATATTTATAATATATAATAATTATATTCATGGCCATGATCTGGCCAATATTACAATTATTATATATTAATAAAAATCAGGGTGACAGCTGCTGCTTTTAGTTGGGTGCAGATACTGGGGGGAAAAAGAAGGAGTAACAGGAGACAGAAAAAAATCAGGCCTCTGTTTAATCAGCCAGTGTGAGAAGTGTGTGCAATGCAAAGATTTTGGGTGTATTTTACAGAGGTTTGGAAGCTCCGGTCAGGACTTCCAAGTACATCACAAAGAGCCGTAAAAAGAGGAAATCAGAAGCAATGTGACCGAGTAGAAACAAAGGGGAGGCAATTCCAAAGGAGGAAAGCACGGGAACAAAAGCAAAATGTGCAGCCCTGTCCTGGCTGGACATTCCCAAGGCCAAATTTTCTGTGTCCAGAGAGGGACACACAGACAGGTCTGAGGGAGCAGGAGGGACAAATCCTCACTGGGATGCCCGTGGAGTGAATTATTGGTGAGACAAGGACACAAAGAACCCTTTTTCAGGCTGGTTTTGAGTTTTTGAACTCCTCTGCTGCAGCTGGTGCATTTGCGGGTGGTTTTTTGATCTTTAGGGGAACACAGCAGCCGCTCTCTCCCCTTTTTTCCCCCTCAAGTACAAACATGTGGAAGCTCAGATAAATCCCTGCAGCAGGGAAATGGGGCTGGTTCTTAGGAAGGGCCCTAATTAATGAGGTAATTCTGGGATGGACTTTTCCCACTCACTGTGTTCCATCTCCATCCCTTGCTGTGGCTGGCAATGGTTAAACCTCATTCCCAGGCTCTGTCTGCTCCAGAACTCTTTTTCTCAGTGGAAAGATAAGGAGGTGCTGGGCTCTGAGTGAGACAAGCCCCGGAGTGTGGTTGTTGTGGTTCTGCAGGGCGGGTATTTTGATGATTGTACCAAAATGTTCTGTTTTAGCAGCAAAATTAGACAGCCAGAGCCTGATTTCTGCTGCCATGAGTTCACATCCACAACAGATCCTTGTATCAACCCAGGCTGGAACAGGATTCCTCTGGGTTACCTCTACTTTCCCTTTTTATTTGTTTATGTGTTTGTTTATTTGTTTGGGTTGTTGGTTTGTTTTTTGGGGTGTTGGGATTTTTTGAGTGGTTTTGGTTTTTGTTTGGTTTTTGTTTTGGTTTGGTTTTCCTTCCCTTTTATTTTTTCTTTCTTCAACACCCCGTGCCCAGAATAATTTTGATAAAAATCAAGAAAAGGAGTATTCTCTGTACCACCAAACCCTACTTATTCTGTTAACTATTTAGTGTAAAACAAAGCTGGTAATTTGGAGAGCTGCCCATGCTGTAGTGGGAAATACAAAATGATCAAGTGTGGAACTTTTCTATAAACAAACAGAATTGATTTATGAATGTAAATCTTCTGCTGGATTAGTAAATCTGAGTTTTTTCAGTGCACGACAAATAAAAAAGGCTTTGATGAACCGAGACCATCAGTAGCATGACTGAAAGATGAAGTTAATTATCATAATGAAATGTTTGATGAAATTAATGTGACTCCAGCAGAATCCAACTTCTCCCTGATCGTTAAAGGAGCCTGTCCTATATTGCTGGAAGGACTGCAAGAGACGTTTTGAAATACAAGGAGCTACTTTGTTCTGAGAACAAACAGGAGAGGAAAGGAGCTAAAGGGTGAGACCAGGGCAGTGTTAGTCCTTAGCAGGGAATTCTGAAGGATATTTCCCCTGTAAAATTTGTGACTCACTTTCTGAACTAGATGGACCTTTAAAACCACAGCTGGTATTTTAGTGCTTGTTTGGGTTGCCAGTTGCAATGAGAAATGTCTGTTAACAGCTATTTTATTTTATTTTATTTTATTTTATTTTATTTTATTTTATTTTATTTTATTTTATTTTATTTTATTTTATTTTATTTTATTTTATTTTATTTTATTTCATTTTATTTCATTTTATTTCATTTTATTTCATTTCATTTTATTTTATTTTATTTTATTTTATTTTATTCCTGTTGGATTGGCCCATCTTGAGTTCTGTTTTTCTGGGTCAGCTCTGAGCTCTGGGTTCACTCCTAGGCTGCCTTTTGGGGATTTTTCAGGTGCTTTTCCCATTAAGCTCAGTGTGGTTTGGTCCTGGGAAAAGTTTTTCTTGTAGAGCAAGCATGGAGGAGCACTGAAGTGCAAGTGAAAAAGATAGTGAGAAAAAGGAAAATTTTAGATGACTTTAGATGTCTGCACTGGGAGAACCGTTTGCAAACCGGTGGAAAACGGTGGTGGGATTACAGCAAGGATTGTGGCAGGCACAGGGATGGGTGTCTGGGCAGTTTGGGATATTTTGTCAACGGCCAGCAGTGGGATTTCATTTCCCATCCCAAATCTTGGTGTTTGTGACCATCCCTGCTTTGAAACTCCCAGTGAGAGATGCCCGGGCAGTGCTGGGTGCCCGGGCAGCGATGTTTGGGTGAGTTGGCGCTGGGGCTGCGGGGAGGTGGCGGCTGTGCTGAGGCCGGGGGGAGAGAGGGAGGCAGAGGCAGCAAACAGTCGGGGAGCGCCGGGATGCACCGGGGCTCCCGAAAAGGCTGTACCGAGTGCTCGGTGAGGGATGCACCGGGGCTCCCGAAAAGGCTGTACCGAGTGCTCGGTGAGGGCTGTAGCCCCGGTAAGGGCTGTGTCACAGCACTCGGTCAGGACTGTACCGAGTGCTCGGTGAGGGCTGTAGCCCCGGTAAGGGCTGTGTCACAGCACTCGGTCAGGACAGCACTCGGTCAGGACTGTACCGAGTGCTCGGTGAGGGCTGTAGCCCCGGTAAGGGCTGTGTCACAGCACTCGGTACCGGAGCTCCCGGTAAGGGACGCCCCGCAGCACGCGAGGACCGCAACACCCCGTTCATGGGAGCGGCTGTGACTCCGTCTGCCCCGGCCTTGGAGCTGCCGCACAGACACGACCCGGCTGCCCTTCTTCCTTTCCCTCCCCTCGCTTTCCCTCCTCTTCCCTTCTCTTCCCTTCCCTCCCCGCGTCCGGCCCGGCCGCCGGCACCGGAGGAGCGCAGCGGCCGCGGGACAGGAGCGAACAGGT